GGGTGTTAAGCTATCAAAGACAAAAGGTGAGCAGACATCAGCGGGTGCTGGGCTGACACTAAAATGCCAAACAGCAACAGAAAAACACTGATTTGTAACCTCAAACCACTTTATTCAGTGTTTTTACTCACTGAAATCACATGTTGTATTTCTTTTGGAGAGGAAGAGACCTCTGTGGCAAATTCGGCTCCCGGTAATAACTTCCTAAGCTATCAAAGACAAAAGGTGAGCAGACATTCGCAGGTGCTGGGCTGACAGCCAAACTCCAACATGCCAAACAGAATCAGAAAAACACTGATTTGTAACCTGAACTGCTTTATTTGGTGTTTTTACTAGTTTAAATCACCTGCGCTGTTTGTTTTGGAGAGGAAGAGTCCTCTGTGGATAATTCGGCTCCCAGTAATAACCTCCTGAACAATAAACACTGAGGGAATTCTAACTGGGAGGAAGTTCCAGCTGGTTGCAATCTGCTGCAAATCTTACACACGGTTTCTATAAAACTAAGTGCCATTGGTCAGAACCAAATACCAGTGAGTCCAGTTGTGTTCAGACCCACACTGAGTGCTGTTTAGCCTCACAGTCTTAAGTTGTGTCACTTTCCTGTGCACAGATGGCTTCCCTCCAGTGACTGCAACGACTCAAGAATTTAACAGGAGCACACAGGGTGAATCTACTGCGTGTCAATTAGTGTCGATGGAACGCTCGTCTCTTTCAGAGCCACACACATTTTGCGATTTGGGGCCGGATGTGTTTTTACATCAGAACCTGCAGCCTAACAAGATCACCATTTCTACATTGTCACTCTGGTTTTTCTCTCAGTTTCTCTCTCTCTGCTCCGCTCACCTTCCTGTCTCTATCTGTTTCCTCATCTGCATTCTCTCTCTCTCTCTCTGTCTCTCTCTTCATCTCTCTTTTTTTTCCCTCTCTCTGCGGTGCACACTTTTCCAGAACACCTTTTCCCCCCGGCTCTCAGGCAACTAAATATAGTGACTGGTGCAGACAGCTCGGCCTTATAACAAATGGTAAGCAGAGCAGAGCAGCGGCGGTGGTAGCATGAGCATAAGGCTTAATTTTGAACAATGAACCATATGCAAACGGCACTGGACCCACACAACACATACGTTCAGTTTAAATGGTAAACAGACCTGTACTTGTATAGTGCTTTTTACACTATGAGTCACATTCACCAATTCACACACACATTCATATACTCAATTGGGTGTGTTTATTTGCTCATTATATTCCATTTTCCCAAATCTGTCTTCACAAATTAAAACAATTCTTTGTCCATTCCTGCAGTGGCAGGACCTGCGGTTATTTTGAGTCTCTCCGGAGTCATTTTATGTCAGCAGTCATTTTNTTTTGAGTCTCTTTGTAGTCATTTTGAGTCTCTCTGCAGTCATTTTATGTCTCTCTGCAGTCATTTTGAGTCTCTTTGTAGTCATTTTGAGTCTCTCTGCAGTCATTTTATGTCTCTCTGCAGTCATTTTGAGTCTCTTTGTAGTCATTTTGAGTCTCTCTGCAGTCATTTTATGTCTCTCTGCAGTCATTTTGAGTCTCTTTGTAGTCATTTTGAGTCTCTCTGCAGTCATTTTATGTCTCTCTGCAGTCATTTTGAGTCTCTTTGTAGTCATTTTGAGTCTCTCTGCAGTCATTTTATGTCTCTCTGCAGTCATTTTGAGTCTCTTTGTAGTCATTTTGAGTCTCTCTGCAGTCATTTTATGTCTCTCTGCAGTCATTTTGAGTCTCTTTGTAGTCATTTTGAGTCTCTCTGCAGTCATTTTATGTCTCTCTGCAGTCATTTTGAGTCTCTTTGTAGTCATTTTGAGTCTCTCTGCAGTCATTTTATGTCTCTCTGCAGTCATTTTGAGTCTCTTTGTAGTCATTTTGAGTCTCTCTGCAGTCATTTTATGTCTCTCTGCAGTCATTTTGAGTCTCTTTGTAGTCATTTTGAGTCTCTCTGCAGTCATTTTATGTCTCTCTGCAGTCATTTTGAGTCTCTTTGTAGTCATTTTGAGTCTCTCTGCAGTCATTTTATGTCTCTCTGCAGTCATTTTGAGTCTCTTTGTAGTCATTTTGAGTCTCTCTGCAGTCATTTTATGTCTCTCTGCAGTCATTTTGAGTCTCTTTGTAGTCATTTTGAGTCTCTCTGCAGTCATTTTATGTCTCTCTGCAGTCATTTTGAGTCTCTTTGTAGTCATTTTGAGTCTCTCTGCAGTCATTTTATGTCTCTCTGCAGTCATTTTGAGTCTCTTTGTAGTCATTTTGAGTCTCTCTGCAGTCATTTTATGTCTCTCTGCAGTCATTTTGAGTCTCTTTGTAGTCATTTTGAGTCTCTCTGCAGTCATTTTATGTCTCTCTGCAGTCATTTTGAGTCTCTTTGTAGTCATTTTGAGTCTCTCTGCAGTCATTTTATGTCTCTCTGCAGTCATTTTGAGTCTCTTTGTAGTCATTTTGAGTCTCTCTGCAGTCATTTTATGTCTCTCTGCAGTCATTTTGAGTCTCTTTGTAGTCATTTTGAGTCTCTCTGCAGTCATTTTATGTCTCTCTGCAGTCATTTTGAGTCTCTTTGTAGTCATTTTGAGTCTCTCTGCAGTCATTTTATGTCTCTCTGCAGTCATTTTGAGTCTCTTTGTAGTCATTTTGAGTCTCTCTGCAGTCATTTTATGTCTCTCTGCAGTCATTTTGAGTCTCTTTGTAGTCATTTTGAGTCTCTCTGCAGTCATTTTATGTCTCTCTGCAGTCATTTTGAGTCTTTTTGCAGTCATTTTATGTATCTTAGTAGTCATTTTATGTCTCTTTGCAGTCATTTTATGTCTCTTTGTAGTCATTTTGAGTCTCTCTGCAGTCATTTTATGTCTCTTTGTTGTCATTTTGAGTCTTGTGGTGTGGTCATTTTGAGTCCCTTTGTTGTTGCTCTGTATGTCTTTGTAGTTGTTATATTTCTTTGTGGTCATTTCAAGTCTCCTCCTGGTACGTTCATCGCTGCTTGACATTTTGCAGGTGTTGGCCAGGGGGGCCCATGACACTTTGGGCCCCTGAGCCTGTGTCAGGTAGGTTGGTTCGTTAACTTGGCGTGACATGACAATGCAATATTACGCCTTTATGTTACTTCAAGTAAAAAAAGGTTGGCTTTGGGTTCCACACAGGACACAAACCCCAGTGTCCCAGGTCGAAGTCCTGTGTTTGTCGCTTTTTATACTATGTGAACTGACTTCTCCTTTGATCCAGAGTTATAGATGAATTATGGTGCATAATTGTTGCACTATAAGGTATGAGTAAGAGTGAATAAGAACAGACCAGCTGCTGTTAGAATTCTCAGATCATGACCTGCTCGTTTGTGTCGTTATAGAGGGTATGAACACATGATGCGTTTTGTTTAAATTGGAGAACTTTCCTCATATTTCAGGGTGTTGAATCTATGATTGAAGGGCTTGGAGAATCAGGTGTAAAAGCTGAGCTCCTAGTGTGCAGACAAGTAGACAGTGTTCCCTCCACAGAGGCACTGTTTGCCTGATAGAGGATGTTTGAAAAGGAGAGGCATGTTTCTAAACCACACATCACTATTCATGTCACCAGAAGAGAATGTGAGAACAAGCTCGCAGCTCATGCCAAACTCCGGTGATGAGAATTTTTTTTTGATTTAAGGCTGAGTTTTCCGTTGAGCCGACAGCATTATCAAACTGCTATTTCCTCCCGTATAGCCTTCCATCTCGCAGAGGGAAGAGTGTGACTGCACTTCTGAAGCACATTTAATGGTTTCCTCAACTGAAATTTCAAGCTTGTAGCTGAGGACTCACACTTTCTTTACGTCTCAGACATGTGCAGCCCAGCTTCAGACCTTATTTTGCAGCTGTACATCCGATGAACCTGCCCGTTTACATCATCTGTGTGTGAAATATCCACATAATTGATGTTAAATTTTGCAGCCTTGACTCAGGTTTTGTAAATCCACCCTGAGGGATGAACTTGCAGTTGCCAATTAGGCATTACAGGCGTTATAAAGAGACGGACAGGTTCACATGTTTATTTTCTGCCTAATTTGGAGATGACACTCAGAATTAGGCGAGACGCACTTTCTGAGAAATGGTTCCTTGGCCACCATTCCCACTTCAAACACTGGTTCAACTCGAGCATAAAATGGCCACAGCTATGTTCCCTCCAGGTTTCAAAACTCTTTCCCTCAAAACATTTGATGCTATCAGCCTCCTCTCAGATTCAGACATTTTCTCCTGCAACAGACATTCACAAGCCAAACCTTTATGTCAGAGGCAAGATCCAAGATAAAGTATCCCTGTGTGAGCCCGAAACGACTTTCATCTTACAGACGGGAACAAAATAAGATGCACAGCACTGTGGTATAGATACTGGCTCGGATCACAACGGATCAATTTTCCCAGCGTGGAATTTTTTTGTGGGCCACTGGATGCTTGATGCTGCGGAATGATTAAAGTCATTGGAAAAGCTACAAATTTGAGAGGCTTTTCTTAATTTGCATGTGCTTATCTGTTGCTTTGGGGGTCATCTGAGGCTGCACAAGCATTTGATATAAAGCAAACATATGCAAAGTATCTCCTACACTGCCATTAGCAGCTGATTGGCACCAGGGGGGGAAGAAAAGCACGATAGCTGGAGGCAGAAAACCCCCAAACCACGCATGCAATCAGAAGTGAGAACAGCAAACATCTCCGCCTAAGTCTTGATTTGCTTCAGTATATATTTGTCTTTAAGAACGATATAAGAGACCACAAGTGTTTCTAGTTTCATTAAAGCAACCAGAGACTCTCAAATGTAATCAAAAAGAACTTAAGAAGGTTTCCGCCGTCCAACTCTCGGCATGTACACCCAGTCCTCCGCAGCCTTCCCTCGCACAAAGACCAGCCAGTTGGTGAAACAGTAGGAACCCAGTATTCATTAAACCCCTCATTAAATCAATAACTCACTTTCTGACTCAATCAGCCTTCTCCAAACTAATTAAAGCCTCGGAACGGTGGACTCACCCAGAACACCGAGCCGGTAGTTGATTGTGATGACGATGACGTTCCCGTAGCTGGCCAGGATGCTGCCGTCAATCATGTTGCCGGTTCCTTCCATGTAGGAGCCTCCGTGGATGTAAACCATGACCGGCTTTAACCCGTTCTCATCGTGGATATCTGCAAAAGAGGACATGGAAATTTAAAAATGTATATAAATGTATAAATGTTGCTTTTGTATCCAGCATGCGTTCGATGAAAACATGCAGGATGCGGCTGATTTCTGATTCTGATGGTGTCAAAGAATATGCCACAAAGTATACATCTGGAAAAGTATGGGAACGTTGGTGCCTAAATTTATGTGACATCCAATGTGCTGGATTGGATAGTGCGTTTTCTAGAATCATTTCCTTGATAATGTGTGGTTGTATGGGGTACTTATCCATAGACAGTACATTACGTACAGTAGATGACAGTTGGCAATGGAGTCTGGTGGCTTTGACCAGAGCTTACATGGGTAACTGAAGCCGTTAACGGATTCCCCATTGGAGTACGCTGTGTGACGGCAAGGTAAGGCAGTAAAAATACTCTCAGTATTCCATACACTTGAACTGATATTGATCTGTTTTAGGTGGGACTTTTTTTAGGTGGCTAAAATACGTTTTGTTGCTGGCCCCCATCCACAGCAGTACACTGTAAGTACCTCATACAACCCCACTCAAAAGAAGCCGAACTATTCCTTAAACCCTGAAATGACATTTAACCCTATTCAAGGATATCCCTTCCCTCCAAACAGTGTTTACTTTGCTATTGTTAAAACGTGAAAATTGTCCAAAAATATTGTTTTTCTGAAGTCTTTTCCAACACATTCTCATCCCGGCTCATCAAATAGTCCATCATCACGTCTAAATATGACACACTAGGTCCCCTCCTGCATCAGTTTTGAACAATCAGTGACGATGTGTCTCTAGCCCCTTTTACACTGCCAGATTTTCGGCGAATGTTGGGCCGTTTTGCCGGCAAGCTGCGAGCGTTTAGTCACACAGAGCTGGATTGGCGAGTTGATCCGAGATGCCCAATTTTCCAGACCAAGGCGGCCCTCCACAACGGGAGGGGCTGTTGAAGACTTGTGGGAGGAGCTGTTGATGACACCGCACGTGCGAGCCACTGGTGGTGGATAAACAGGAAACAGCTGATAGCAGGAATTAGCGAGCAGCTAGTAGCAAGAGGGAAACACAAACCTGACAGACACTGTAAAGATGAGCAACTGGGGAGACAAGGAATTGCGCGCCCTCCTTGTCCTCGCAAACTAAGAGGCCATTAACCGTCAGATGACGGGGACGGTGAAGAACGGGCCGACTTACGAGAGAGTCGCAGAAGGACTGACCAGCTGCGGCTTCCCTCCCACGTCACTGTTTACGTCACACGCTGAGCTACATGTTTTGTTACTTGCTCACGCCCCCCATTGCCCCGAAAAAGGCGCATTCTGTTTGAACAAAAGTAGGCAGGCGGCATTTTGCTGCACTCCCCGATTTTGTTTTTATACTGCCAATGCTGAAAAAAGACTGATTGGGCTTTCCTGCACATTTGTACAACTCCTATCTAAAAAGGGCTACTGTATGCTCATTACGTGCATCGTGTCTTCAAAATGCAGTTCCGTTTTCATAGGAAATGTAAAGAGTACATGCATAGTTTAGTCATGAGTAAAATATTTCCTTAGGTTTAGGCAACAATGGAATGTGGTTAGATTTAGAAAGCAAAAGAAAACATGGTTTGTCACACATTTGGCTCCTGGGTGAAAGTCCAGAGTTTGTTTGACCTGAAAGTAACACATAGGCTGCGTTAATTCCAGATTGTGTTATTCTACAAAGAAAAAAATCCATCAGATCACTTTGAAATATGTCACAATTGAAAGATCAAATACTTTTCCAGCACTCTCAGGCTGAAATCTACAATCTAAAGAACAGTAAGAGCTTAGAGTGGAGCAGGAGACATGGATGCCATTCACTCTTAATGTTGTAATTAACAAGCAAAAACAGTATCAGCTTCCACACACCAAAGAAAATATCTCGACCTTTCTTAATTTAACTCTGATCTTTTTTACAACACAGCAAAGTAAGGGGATAAACGGTGTTAGAGATATGGTTCTCAGGCAGACTCTGATAAGAATTTCCACGGCTTTAACCCCGCAATCTCTACATCTGTCTCCCCTCCTGCCTGCTTCATTTGTTCTTTGTGTAATGTGCAGGGAACGCTGCAATTAGGCCAGATGAATACCTTGTTTATGAGGCTCTCCAGTTGTGATTAAGCTGGGTGATTAGTACATGTGTAGGTGGTGATTATAAATTAAGAGTGGGCCCTTTGCATGAAAGTAGATGAAAGAAGAAGATATAAATCCGTCCAATAAGCAGGGCTCGCAGTGAATCAGCCGGCAGCATCTTCATCATCAGGAGCCCTCGGCTGATTTTAACATGGAGTCCTCAGGGTGAGCTTTACCAAGACTTCGCAGAAATAGAGTTTGTGGAAATATATATGTATATTTTCTTTCACTTCTTTTAACTCAAGACAAAAAAACTGCAGAAATAAGTATCAGTGTTGTCCTCAGATGGCCCAGTGTCTCTCACATCTCCCGCACTACAGTAAGTCTCGCTTGCCTGGACCCGGCAGCTGAACGGAGCCATTATCTCCGGCCCTGCCGACTGGGCTGCTTGGAAGTCTCTCAAATGTCACTGGGGATGAGAGCATCTGCTGAGGAAAATATCAAATTGAGAGGGGAGCTGGCCAGCTTGTGTGCGGCTCGTGCTGAGATTTAAAACCATGATATTGCGCTGACTGTCAGTTCTCAAAAAGTGGCACTATTTACCTTAACTGTAGAGAACTGGGCTTTTGTTTGAAACAGGGATATATCAGAGAGTTTGCTGCTGATTTCCTGTCATGAGGAAGTCTATTCTTTTCTGATCTGCTCTGCTGTTAATGCTTGGTTGCTCAGGCATGAATTTTAAAGGAGCAGTGTGTAAGATTCAGGGAGATTTAGTCATATTTAGGGGTGAGGATTGCAGATTTCAACCAACTGAAACATCTCCTGGTTAGAATTCCTTCACTGTTTTTTGTTCAGTAGGTTTTAACCAGGAGCCGAATTATCCACAGAGGTCTCTTCCTCTCCTAAACAAACAGACTGGGTGATTTAAACTAGTAAAAATTCTGCATAAAGCAGTTTCATTTTACAAATTAGTGTTTTTCTGATGCTGTTTGGCACGTCAGAGATTGGCCACTAAACTAGCATCTGCTAACATATGCTCACCTTTTTTCTCTAATATCTTAAAATCCAGACATTCAAGGAGTTTTTACTGGGAGCTGAATTATCCGCAGAGGCCTCTTCCTCTCCTAAACAAACAGACCGGGTGATTTAAACTGGTAAAAACAGGGAATAAAGCAGTTTCATGTTACAAATCAGTGTTTCTCTGATGCTGCTGCTAACGTATGCTCAGCTTTTTTCTCCGATATCTTAAAGCCTTTGGAAACACAGCTTGAAATAGCAAAAATGCATATATTATATCAAAGTCGAGTGTCTCATTAATCATCCACAAAAGTCTGAGTGAAAATAACCATTCATAAGTATTAGAAAACCTGGCTTAAAAACAGCTCACTTTGCTGTTTAGACCACTTGCCAGGACAGAGTGGGCGTGGCAGATAACGCTCTGATTGACAGCTCCCTCGTTTTGATTGGCATCCAGGCTAGCGCTTTGCCTTTCTTCATTGAGATACGTTTTTATTGAAAACATAAATCTGCATTTTTCTGATAATAGCCTTTTTCATTCAAACACATCCAGTCTTAATAGATTAAATATGTCTTTACTCTGACACACACACACCAACTCTCAAAGCCGGCTGTCTCTCTGTCGTTGTGTAGAACTATCTGCCCGCCTTGAATAATGTTCCCCTCCGGCTAAAATTGTGTTGTTTCCCTCAGCATCACCTCCTTGATTGGGGATATGTTTATGCTTAGCAAAGCTAACTGCTTGGGGTTGGGGTTAGGGGTGAGGAAGGGTGCACATTACGTCCCCTCCCCGCGAGCCGACACCGGCTCCTGGCCCGGGGGGTAAGCCCGGCTGCTCACAAGCCTCCTCTTCCTGCAGCTCCATGAGCTGCAAAGGCTCGGATTGTCCTGGCTGTGGAAACCGGTCAACCTGATTCGAGTGGTGCGGTTCAGCCAGTTTACGATCTGTATTTTCTAAACATCAGACTAGAAAGCTGTTTGTTGGCTCAGACTCAAAGAGGCAGATTTAGCTGGAGCAGAAAGGTTTTGTTGCGCTGCCACTGGGGGGCGGGATGAGACAACTAACGGATGATTTATGATTGGTTTGGAATTTATTGCGTAATAAATCTCAGAGATAACCACGGCCAAATCAAACCCAATTTCAAGAATGTACAAAAACTCAGTCACTCAGGCTTTTATTAGGACATGTAGTGTACACTCAGGAATGTTATTTGAACTCTGCCTTTTAAAAACAAAGCCTGCGACTAATTCTAGTGCTGCATTGTAGGGAAAAAGTGCATCTAAAGAGTGACTCTCTGTGCTGTGTAATTAGTTTAAAGAGGATACACGCTGCCCACACCAATTATTGGTTTCTCTTCCAGTTGCACTAGTCTGTGGCGAGATGCACAACGGTGTGCAACAGGAAGTGTACGGTTTATGTAGGCAGAAAGCAACACAGCCACGGAGGAGGGGTGTATCATTCTCCTCCTCCGCAAAAGAAAACAGTGAGGCAAAGGAGTCGAAAGCAACCCACAGTGACAGGTTATTAATCTCCGCTGTGCTCCGAGTGGGTTGCTAATCCTGCAGCCAAGTGTGGGGAGGGGATCTGAGAAGAATCTGGGGTCAACGTCCCAGACCGACACCGGACGCATTCACTCCGGTTGGATACAAGGCTGCTAATTACAGAGGCAGGATGGCAGGCCGGTGTCAATAAGTTCCTGTTTGTCATTCAGTTCCACATTAAAAGAGGCCCGGTGGAACAGTGTGGGCGGCAGGAACAACCTTGAAGCGGCAGATGCACATAAAACAAGAGCGCTGCCATTAAGTTGTCATAGTCTCTAACCGATACGTATCTGATGGTCGCTGCAGGCCTCTGTGGGCTCAGGCAAAACTATTTGGCTGGCTTTCCATCAAACAAACAGGC